CCACTTTCGCTCACTGAGAGGAGAGGAGCAGGGACACGGGGAGCCATGGCGGGGGGGAGGAGAGGCGCCATAGCCAGGCCAGAACAATCGAACGCGGCACCCCCAGCTAGTGGTCCGAGCACAGACATACAAACATTCCCCAATGGGCTTCGCCGCAACCTTAATGCGGACCCTAAGTCCATATCCCGCGCTCGGTCCCCATACGAAACCCAAAAGAAGTCCTCCAGAAACGATTCGTTTATCGCTCGATTGGTTGGGTCTGAGAGTGACGGAAATTGCCGAGTGCTTTCGGCTCCCAGAAACTAGCGTGAGTTAGCAATTCTCGCGCGAGGCTCAAATAAAGAGTCGCGAGAATGATGTTCCAACGGGACCTCCCTGGAAGTGACGTATTGTTTCTACTAATCTTAACCTGGCGCAAAGTGTGGTTGCAGGCCCAGCTAGGCCTCAAGTTTGTTTAGGGTAATTTTCGGTTAACCCTTCAGTTATGTGCACAGTAGATTTATGAACGCCTCCAAAACCTTTTACGATTCTCGCAGATACATTAAAATCGGACCTTTTCCCAGCGTTGTCACTTGCCAATGGCTCTGGATGACTAATTTAATCTAGAATTTACTGTGTCAGAAAACACTTGGCATGCCTTAAATTTGTTTTTTCTGCCTGCATTTGTTCCAATTCAGTATTATTATTTTAGAACAGGTGAAAACTACAGTTTTGTTATTTTCATTTAAAGGGTTCCAGCAGAGAGAGCTCTAAAGTAGTTTTTGCTTTTTTGAGTGGGGAGATGCCTTCAAGTCAGCCTTGACTGGCATCTGCTTGGGCAAATCCCTGCAGTTTTCTGGGCAACATTTTCAGAAGTGATTTGCCATTGTCTTCTTTGGGCTGAGAGAAAGCGACTGGCCCAAAGTCACCCATCTGGCTTCATGCCCGAGGTGGGACTGAGCTCAAAGTCTCCCGGTTTCTATTCTGGTGCCTTTAACCACTAACACCAAACTGGCTCTCTGGTACTAACAACAGATACATCATTGAAGGAAAGGTTTGAATAAATCCCAAATTAATTATGGGCCATAAAGTTGATGCCGATAGATAGATCTTCTCCAGGATGATCGGTGTCCAACTGGGCTCTTCAGGTTTTCCAACAATGCACCCATCGCTTATATAATCAAGTTCATCTGCCTTGCTGCTGATTGGCCTCTTTTTTCCTCTACCTTTCACAACATTATGATCACAACATTTCTGAAGAGAGCTAGGTCGTGTCCAAAATATGTTAATTTGAGCCCAGTCATTTTATTTATTTATTTCGTCGAGTTATATAGCCACCCATCTCACATATGTGACTCTGGGTGGCTTACAATAAAATATTGTAAGATTTTATATTTGTTCCTCAAGTGAGAATTCTGGATTTTGTTCAATGACTCATTTGTTTTCTTGGCTATTGATGGTATTTTCGAGAGTCTTCTCCAATATCAAGGTTCAAAAGTGTCAATATTCTTTCTATCCTGCTTCTTTAAAGTCCATCTTTCGCCTATGTAGTGCAACACAGGTAAGACCCATTTCTGCATGATTCTGATCTTTGTAGGTTGAGACATATTGTGGCATCCGAATATATTTTCCAAGGCTATCATTGTTATTTGCCAAGTACTAGTCTAGCATATTTCTTGACTGCTGGTTCCTTTACCGCTGATAGTTGACCCTAAAAGGCAGAAGCGATCCACTTCAATATCTTCATTGTCAATTCTAAGGCTGGTTGCTGTACCTGTTGTCATTACTTTGATCTTCTTTATATTTAATCTTAGTCCCATGTTTTTACTGTGCTCCTTGAGTTTCATTACTAGACCCTGCAAATCATTTAAAGTTTCAGGTATCAGAGAAGACTCAATAGCATAGAGCAGGTTATTGATGTTTTTTTCTCACATCTTGCTTGCATCTCTGCATCTTGAAATCAAATGGAGTGGGAATGTTTATTTCCCCAAGGTGTGCATATAATGGAAGCTCTGCCCATTTCAGAGATGAATACTAGCTCCCTATTTTTCCACCTCTAAAACTGTAGTTTCTGAACCTATATTCATGAGTGCACAATAACACATAGACCCATTACACTATTCCCTTTGGAAGTAAGCAATGTTATTCTACCACATTCATTCTACACAAAGACCATAAAGAGAAATCTAAAATTTTATTTTAAACAGAACATTCCAACTGTTTTACTACAGGAAAAAAAATCTCAAAGAAGAATGTCATGTTTGTCTTTGAAATCATAGCTTCACATTACTAAATCTGCATTTGTTCAAGTGCACCCCAGGCAATATCTGACCTATTTTCAAATACACAAATCTGTTACAATGGTTCTATATTACCTGATTGTGGGCCTTTTCCTATCTCAGTTAAAAAGGTACTTTTACAAACTTGGACCACATATTCCATACTCTACTTATATTAATAATGTGAACTACAATACCTCTCCAGAATAAAATGCATCAGGGTGTAGATAACTTATTAGAAAAAGAAGTTTGCTGATTCCTTCATGAGGGGATCTTCCCCTCAAACTACAGTTATCTATAGCTACCTTGTGCAAAAAAATAAGCAGTTATCCTGGGCTAATACTTAGTATTTCAGTAAATATGTTTCCAGTGATATAAAATTAATGAACATAACAAAAACCTAATCTATAAACAAGGTTGGAAGCCTTTTCCTGTTATGCAACTGTTTGGTCTTAGATGGGCAATCTACTCTGATTATTTGGAAATTGAAAAGAGTAAGCCCTGAATCTCCAGCGAGCAAATAGTGAACAAACAGTGTCAACTGTATTACATGAGAGACAGTTCTGCATTGCAGCAAAGAATATTGAATCCCATGTTTGTTGTTCCAATGGAAGCCCCCAATCCTAAAGAAAATAATTTCTGCTCTTGGTCTCTAGAGCTTAATACTCTTAGCTGGCAGTTAAATTTGGAAGACCCCCACTTTCTTTCCTCTTATGGAAAAAAGGATAGTAATCTGACTTGCCAGATAAATGAGATTCCAACAGTGTCAGACCAGGATTGGCAAGACAGCCCCACAGAAGGCAAAGGCAACCTTATATCTTGAAATGAGAACTGAGGTATATTATTCATTTTTTGAGCTAAAAAGACAGGCATAGGAGTTTCTGTTTATTCATGCTTGTCATTCAAAACCTGTCTGATTTCTTTTTCTAAAGTAAAACTGATATTTGTTTGTGGTTTGAATATTGGAGAGAATTTTTTCCCCTACATTTTAGTCTCTTCCAATGTCAGTTTACATGAAATACCTCCTTTTGTTTCCATTTTAGATTCTATCTCACCACTGCCAATTGTGGGCTCTTGGTTATCATGGTGATATATTTCTTCTTTTTCATAACTGCCCTGACTACCAGGAAGCCAGAGATGGACAGAACGTGGACAGAATGTTTTAGGATATGCTTCTTTCGCCGCCATTTTCCTTCTTATTGGCTCCACTTGTTTTCTGATGAGGAAACCTTCCTCACTGAGCTGGAACTTTTGCACTGCAGTCTTTCTTCGTATGTTATAAACATCTGCCAGTTGTCGTAGCTCTTCTGGTAACTCCATAGAAGATATCTGATTTAACACAGAAACAATTAAGAGTAGCACTTGATTATCATTTTTATTGTTTCTTTGAAGTACTGTTGTTATATCTATGAAATGAGGTAAACATGAAGAACACAGCAGTTGGCACTGATTTCAGATATTTTAACAGCAACCACCTGAATCTTTGATTCATATGAGATACCATATTCTCTGTTGAACCAAAACTGAAATATTAAGTATATTTTTTCAAACTCTGTAAGCATATGGTATTTAATTACAGTAAATAATAAGTTCCCTCTTTTCTTTAAGGGTGAATTCTATATTTTGTGTAGTATTTGAAGAATATTTATGTGTTTGAAGGGGTTTTACTAGGGCTTTGCAAAGTGTTTGAAAAAGATAATTTGCAAAGCTTATTAGCATGATTGAAACCCTCTTTTCAAAGCATTAAAGCAGCTGTGTTCTTTGAAATACCTCACACATGATTATCAGCATGCATTTGGGCACACACAGCCACTTTGTTTCAGTCCAGCAGTAAAGTTGTATCTGCATGCATATACATGTGTAAGCAAAGTTCAAAGCTGTTGCACTTCGCAAACTACCTCTTTTGAAAGCTTTGTATGCACTTAGTATTTACTGCACATTTTTCAGCATGAAAATATATGGAAACATATATTTCCAAAAATATTAAGCCAGTGATCATTAGAAGCATTGAAAACAGGAGTTGTACCTGTTCCTACACTACTATTATTTTGATATGAGGTGAAGACTTGTTAATACTTCCAGTTTTATTTGATATTTTAGATATTTAAGTTTTCTGGCATGAGTTTTATTGATCTAACCTACTACTATTATGTTTTTATTTAATGTCAATTAATTTTCTGTTTTGCTAATGTCCTAGAAAGTAAGATATATTCAAATAAGAAGTATAAACAAATATTTTCATAATTAATTTTAACAGACATATTCTTCTGCTGTATGGAAATGTTGAATTAATATAAATATTAATTCAAATTCAGTATAAGTTTTTTTTATTTAATGTCAATTAATTTTCTGTTTTGCTAATGTCCTAGAAAGTAAGATATATTCAAATAAGAAGTATAAACAAATATTTTCATAATTAATTTTAACAGACATATTCTTCTGCTGTATGGAAATGTTGAATTAATATAAATATTAATTCAAATTCAGTATAAGTTTTGTGTGCTCTCTGCCAATAAAAATGTAAAGCCTATACTGAAGTTTCTCAACTGCAGTTCTTCAACTTAAGACAAAAGGAGTGCAGTTTTTTAAAAAATCTTCACTAATTTTATTGACTGAGTCACAGTAAAGTGCTTCAGTAGTTAATGGTTAATAGCATTAATAAATTAGATGATCCTACCCAATAGTGTGCAATTGAGGTTGAACTTACTTCTATGCTTCCCAGGGGGTCTGCAGATCCTTGCCGAAATGCATTCAAGTATCCATCCACTAAAGTTGTTAAATCAGACATAATTTCATCAAGCAGCAGCAAACGAAGAGGGAGGAGGTACACTGTTTCCAGAGCTAATACATTCATCAATACAGGTGGAAGGGGTCGCACAAACCAGACCTCGGGATTTTTCTACATGAAAAAATACAAAACAATATTCTCATTGGTATTCCTCAAAACTGAGTTGGTTGATGGAATTGCTGCTATAGCTTAACAGCAAAGAATCAAAGGAACCTTCGGTAGAATCATTCTATATGAACTCAGAGGTTACTTTAGATGAGCCATTCACTCTCAGTCTTATCCTACATGTCAACAATATTTATTTATTTATTTGTTTTTTTTATATAAATAAATCAAAATCAGCAAAAGATTTCCAGTGGTTAACATCAAAACATGAAAACATTAGCAATCTAAAATTCATAAAAACATAACAATAAAGCAATCAGCTGTGAGCCACAGATGATATCAACAAAAATAGAGAAGTTTTGTTTTAACCAATTTCCAGAATGTCATCAGGGTAGCCACCAACACAAGAAAGAGCCCATATTAGAGTTTACTTTGTGACAATAAGGGCAGTGGATGTCAATATTTCTCTGCCCTTATTGTGTTCACCAACAGTTGCCCAGTGGCCCTCTTTAGGGTGACCTGCTAGGTTGCAGCAAGCAACAGGATCATCTGTGAGGAATTCTGATTATTTGGTGGATAAAGTCACACCAAGTTGGACTCCAATTGGCAGGTTCAACTGAGGTGTCGGCACAGTCTGATGGTGTGATTTAGGATGAGTTTGAGTCAGTGACTCTTGAGGAAGTGGACATAGTTCTCTGCACTGTTAGTTCAGCCACTTGTTTGTTGGACCCAGGGTCTTCCTTTCTTGTTAAAGTTTCCAGGGAGTTGACCTGTAGTTGAGACTATGCAGTGGTATCAGCCTCTTTGAGGGACAGGGTAGTGCTGTCAGGCTTGAAGGAGGCTAGGTTATGTCTCCTCCTCAAGAGGCCATTGCCGGACCCAGCTATTTTAGACAACTACTGTCCTGTCTCCAACCTTCCCTTTTTAGGGAAGGTTGTTGAGAAGATGGTCAGGCTGCAGTTACACAGGACCCCAGAGGAAATGGATTATCTAGACCTGTTTCAGTTAGGTTTCAGGCTGGGATTCAGTACAGAGACAGCCTTGGTCATACTTGTTGATGACCCATGGCAGAGCCAGAATGGGCATGTGATATCCATCCTTCTACTCTCAGCAGCTTTCAATACTATTAACCACAGTATCCTTGTGGACCAACTCCAGGGACTGGAATGGGGAGCACTGTATTACAGTGGTTCTCTTCCTTCCTTCACAACCAGTCCCAGTCAGTGTTGGGCAGGGGGAGAGGTCACTCCCTAGACCCCTCCTTTGTGAGGTGCCCCAGGGCTTGACGTTCTCTCCCCTTTGTTCAACACCTATATGAAACCACTGGGTGAAGTCATTTGCTGGTACGGGGTCCATCAGTATGCTGATGATACCCAATTATATTGTTCAACCCCAGGCCAGCTGTCAAAGCCCTATCCCAGTGTCTGGAGGCGGTGCAGGCCTGGATGAGAAGAAACCAACTCTGGCTCAATCCTACCAAGACCAGATATGTTGCAGCTGTTGAGACTGGCTAGATCTAGGGATTTTCCACCTTCACTTGTGAATGGGGTTGCACTCCTCCATTCAGGAATGGGACACAACTTGGGGGTCCTGCAGGACTCAGAGCTCCCACTTGAAGTTTAGGTAGCACCTGTGGCCATGAGGGCCTTTGCACTGCTCCATGTGGTGTGCCGGTTGCATCCCTTCCTAGATTGGGTGGCCCTTCAAATGATCAGTCATGCTCTGTCATCTCACGGCTCAATTGTTGCAATGTACTCTATATGTGGCTGCCCTTGAAGACCATTTGGAAGCTTCAACTGGTCCAGAATGTAGTGGTGTGAGCAGTGATGGGCTTGCCTTGTCATGTCCACATGGTGCCTCTGCTGCTGCACTGATTGCCAGTGTGTTTCCAGGTATGATTCATCGTGCTTGTTATCACCTGTATAGCCCTATGTGGCATAGGGCCAGTTATCTGAGGGACTACCTATCTCCTATGGTTTCTGCCTTGCTGGTACAATCTGACAGAGTGGGTATGCTCCAGGTTCCCTCAATTAAACAGTGTCATCTTTCAGGATCCAGGAATCACATCTTCCCTGTAGCGGTACCTGTCCTCTGGAAAGAGGTCTCCCCTGAGATCTGGATGGCTCCCACTCTAATGGTCTGGAAGGCTCTGAAAACCTGGCTGTTCTTTCAGGCCTTAAAGTAGAGTGGATGACCCCCACTCTTGTTTGGGGTATTGTCATATTTGTATACATATTGGCGTGTTGTCTCAATTGCCATCTTATAACTATTGTGTAATTCTTGTTTGGATTAATTTTTATTGTATTTCTATTTACTGTTCTTTTATGTTTTTATTTTGTGAGCTGCAGAGTCAGTTGGAGTTGGGTGGCATCAAAATTAAATTAATAAATAAACATTAATATTGATCCAATAAAGATTTTTTAACTTGCATTGAACTATGCATGTTTACTCAGAAGTAAGCCATAGCGAGTTTAATCAAACTTGCATCATAATAAGAATCCATTGGATTGCAGTACTAAACTGACTAATATCCCAAAAATTAGAATTCAGGCAGTCCTCAGTTAATGATAATTCATTCAGAGACCATTCAAAGTTACAACAGTGCTGAACAAGGAGACTTACGACTGGTCCTCAAAGTTGTGGCCATTGCAGCATCCCCGCGGTCACATAATTGCGATTCGGGCATTTGGCAACCAGCTTGCAATTACGATGGTTGCAGTATCCCGTGGTCGCATGATTGCCATTTGTGACCTTCACTGCCAGCTTCTGACAAGCAAAGTCAATGGGGAAGCTGGCAGGAGGTTGCAAATGGCAATCTTGCTTAACCATGCAGGATTCACTTAACGACTGCAACTGGAACTGCCAGAACTGCCAAGGTAAGTCGACAGAGTCATGTGAGGTTATGCTTTATGACTGCATCACTTAGTGACAGAGTTCCCGGTCCCAATTATAGGTAGTCCTTAACTTACAACCATTTATTTAGCGACCATTCAAAGTTACGATGGCACTGAAAAAATTGACTTATGACTGGTTCTTGTACTTATGACTGTTGCACTGTCCTCATGGTCACATGATTGTGATTCAGGCATACCGCAACCGTTGTGCATTTATGACAGTTGCAGCATTTTGCGGTCATGTGATCGCCATTTACGATGTTCCCAGCTGGCTTGTGACAGGCAAAGTCAATGGGGAAGCTGGCAGGGAAGGTCACAAGTTGCAGTCATGTGCTGTCTCGCTTCACGACCAAGCAAAAAAGATCGTAAAATCAAGTTTAGTCACGTGACGGCTCACTTAACAACCACATTGCTTAACAATTTTCCAGTCCCTATTGTGGTCATAAGTCGAGGACTACCTGTACCATCATTAACTAAGGACTACCTGAATTGCCTTTATGTTGAGCTCCCAGATTGGATTACTTCTTTGCCTTTGCTATCTGCCTTTTAATATCTTCCTATTGGCTCTTATCATAGGCTTTCCCTTTCAGGTTTTCATATGCCTCAAACTCTTAATGTTTTACCCATTTCTTTTCTTAAACTTCCCTCAAATAACCTTTGATGACATTCCCTGAAGCCCACCTAATCTCTGAAGGTCTTAATGGAACTTTATAGTTGCCTTCCCAGAAAATTATGTGGTATATGTCCAGCAGAAATAATGCCCGTGCTATTCCATTTAGATAGGCTACAGAATGTTTCGCACTGCACAACGTAACTCCTGCCTTGTTATTTGCAATTTCTAGCTCTGTGCCAAATCAAAGAAAAATCATGGTAAGTATTAAGTATATGCTATTTTTGGCACAATTTCTGTTACAACCTCAAGAAGGTATAAAATAGATAATGGGCTACAAGCAGATCTGATTTCCTTCAACTCACATGATGATGCCATCTGAACTAACCATCTTACCACAACTGCTTGCTGCCTGTATTCCAAGAAAGAGATACATTTGTAGGGCAGCCCCAGATACCGTATTAAACACTCTTGTAAAGAGCTGATCCTGTGTGGAAGGTAACCACCTGTTTCCATTGAGAACTGCAATACATCAGCAACCTATGGGGGAAAAGGGGGGAGATCAATTAATCACTTCTGCAGTTCACAAACAAAAGAAACCTGAATACAGAGGATCATTCTTCTGTCATTATCACTTTAGGATTAATCCAATAAATAGCTTTTAGCAGATTTAAGAGTATTTTTCAGCAAATCAATGATATAATGCTAGAAGGAAATAGAAGACCAATAAAAGGCTGTTAGAAGGTTAGCTGTAAAAATCTTGACTGAGAAACTTAGAGATTTTCATCTTGATTTTTTTCAGTCATCTTTCATGAAGCACTATATATTACAATACAACTGGCATGTTTTATATCCATTTATGTAGCCATGAAAGTCATCATTCCTTAAGCTTTGAAATCTAAAACAGACTATCAAAAAATAGCAATTAAGATAGATACCAGATTGTATAGAATATTATATGCACGTAAATTAAGGACAGACAACTTTGAGATAAGATATTCTTTTATAAAGTAGCATATTAAACTATTTCCCCTCAAATCTGGTTACATACAGAAGTATTTGACAAGCTACCTGTGTATCAAAGACATTGGACAGCACAATTCCATATTGGTGAGAAAGACAATCTGAAAGCCAACGACAATCATGGATAACCTAAGGAATGTGAGGAAGAAGCAATATAATAATTTTGATCAAGAAATATAATAAAAGTAACACATTTTTCTTGCTTTTTAAAAAACATAATTTCATGTTTCCTCCCCATATTTTATTGGATCTCCTGTGCTACATAGAAACATACTTTCAAAATATTCTGGTCCTCCAATATCATTTGTAGTCCATTCTTGAACACTCGAGCTCCCAGAAGAAAAATGTCAAATAAGAAAACCTGACTTTTTGTTGCAATCTATAGTAAATATGTAGAGAAAAGAGCAAAATTATAGGTCTGCTGTAATCCAAATATTAATACTAAAATATGTTCAGAGTATCAATGTTTTTGACTGTTATCTTGATTCTAAGTATGTTACAGTATCATTAAACTCAGTGGCAATTACTTTCAAGACATATTTCAAATTGGACTGTGAAGTTCACAGCTTCTTAAGTTGAAAGAATATCTAATTGCAAGTAGGAATATTCTAATAAAAAATTAACTTGTTTATCCTATTACATAAAGGATAAACTATATATTTATCTAATTTCTGATCATATATTTTACTTAATTTTAAATTGTAATCACGAACTATTGTACCTATTAATTTTAGTCAGGTATAAACATTAGCATTTTTCTTTCCCTCCAATTCAATCTTTTTGTTTAGTGAAACTGATGCAATCTGATATGGACAGATTCTAACTACACCTCCCATAATACCTTGATCTACAGAAATTGAGAATTCTGTGAAGAGCCCCAGATATATCACTCATACAAAAACAACAAAAAAGAGGAATTACACCGGAAGGCAAAGATACAGCATATCTTTTTTGATTCTTAGACCATTATTGTTCGTAAGAAAAGTACCATTTTTTTTTTTTACATTTACACTCCAAATTGCGAGGCATACTGTGCATTCTTACTTGTAACCAAGCGAGTTTTCCATACCGACACAAATTGACACCCTCTGCTGCTATACTACATACGCTTTGCTTTTTGATGTGCATCATCTAATATGGAAACAAAAAGATATAGCAGGACATGGAAGACAAGGAAAACAACATGGAACTAGTTTTTGTTACCCAAAGTTACCATGCATCATTAAATGTAGAAGGATAAAGCAGTTGATCAACACAGTGTAAATAATGAATTGTTTCATGCCTGCTTGGGCATTATTATCATGTATTTATACAAAACATTTTCAGGTCTTTTAAGCCAATGACATTCAGGACAAGGCATTCTACTCAGCCTAACAGAATCCTCGTGAGGTTATTATTTTTTTCTTTCATTTGATACCATTTATACTAGGACTACCCCAATAATAAATATTGTCCTCAAATTTTTTATATTTTATCTAGAACCTCAATACATTTAAATTGTATTTTAAATGTATTGCAAAATACATGAAAAAACATAATACGTGAAAAAACATAATAAAATAAGTTCCCTGACCTTAACCTTACTTTTTCTTAAAGAGCCCAAAATATAAATATTCTTTGAAGCAGAAATTTTCCAGCCCCTACAATAATCCTTTTTGAATGCTGTTCATCAGAACTGTACCCAGTATTTCAAATGTGGTCATACCATATATTTACAATATTGGCAGAAATCTTTTTGCTCCACTGTGCAATTTTGTTGTTGTTATGATTATTATTTATTAGATGTATTATAGCCACCCATTCCAAAAGACTCTGGGTGGCTTACAACATGTCAAAATATACAATAGTTAAAAACATAACAACAAAACATAATTGTGCTGTCAAGAAGTAGCCATGATGGTTAAAAAAACCACACCCACACAACAGGAGCTCCACCAACACACTAATCCCAGGCCTGAGAACAGAGACAGGTCTTAAGGGCCTTCCAGAACCCCAGGAGAGTGGGTACCATCCCCACCTGTGAGGGGATGCTCTTCCAGAGGATAGGGGCCACAACAGAGAAGTGTTCTCAACTTTATATTGGATTTATTTATCCATTCATAAAATTTACATCTCAATAATTTCATTGTTGCATCACAAATGTTAGCCTGGTAAATATTAAAAGCTCCATGAATCGCTGTAATAATAGCCTGATGAACTACTGAGAATTCCATTAATGGAATCTTAGTCCCTCCTTGCAGTACAGTTTGCTGAACTGAGAAATGTTTGTTAAACCTACTTAAATCTATTTTAAATCTCACAGATTCTACCATACTTCAGACTACAGGCCATTAAAAAAAGTGTGCTATAAATAAATTATGTCCAGGGACATCTTATATCAGCTGGGTTTAATCTTAATTTAGCTCCCCCAAAAGGTAGCCTTTTTGGGTGTGGGGAGCATGAGAGGTCCACAGAAAACTTTGATTCACTGGAGGATTCTTCTGCTGAAAATGGAGAAGTTGCAATATGGGGAAATTCAATACAGCTTTTGCCACAGTTCAGGAAGGTTCCACAACCATTTGAAATAGTTGTTCAGTGCAACTGGATTCTCACACTGAAAGCCTCACTCACACATACAGCAGAAGAGTGATAGTCAGAAGTAGAGCCTCAGCTTGCTGGTTCCATCATGTGCTATGGATCCTCCCTAAGGCTAAAAAGAAAATGTAGCTTGGCACTCAAACATGACAGCCCAAAGGACAGCTGCAATCCAAGCTCCAAATCAAGGCACTGTCACCAGTGTCTCAATGTGGGACTTAGAGTGCAGCTGCCCCTCAGCTTGCCCTGCCTGGATGCAGAGCCACACTTTTCACTTTAAAGCCATAACCAAGGGGGTGGGGGTGGCTATGGGAGTAGGACAGCCTTAGCTGTGATGACACTCTATCTGAAGCTAGGAATACAGCTGCTCTTTAGCCTGCCCTGCCCAGAAGCAGACCTGTTTCTTCTCAGCCAATGTTCTACAGTGCCTGGTGAGACTGGCAAATGGTGACCTATTTCTGGCAGTCACTTCCCTGCTGTGTGTGCACTGAGTGAGGAATTTCCTATTGCCTGTGCTGCTAGCAAGATGGCAGTTCCTTTTTTCTCCCTCATCTCCATCAGATCTTAATTTTATATCTCTGAAGGCACACTTTGGTTTTCTTTTGGTCTACAATAAGGCAAGTCTACCAAAGCAATTTACTAGCAAGAAATCAAAATTTCCAGCCCAATACAATTTTCGGAGAAAGCAGATTACTTGAGGTTTCCACCATGAATAGGTGACTTGGAGGGGAGGGAGGACTGGAACAATTTGGCAACCACACTTAGGCTCAAACTTGATTCAAAACCCCAAACTATCATACTTCCCCATTAATTATAACTGGAAAACATTAAATTGCAACTGCTTTTTTTCCTGTGTGAGTTTTTAAAATAAATTTACATTTAAAAACATACCATGATACTATTTTCTCAATTTTTTACTTACTCAAGATTTGTGTATCAATGCACAAAAGGGCACTGCAGCCCTCAGAGTAAACAGCAAGACCTCTTGAGGCATTCATGATGATTTGAGTTTAAGACCCTGGGCTATAACAACAAAATAATAAAAACATCCTTGAGAAGCAGCAGCAACATTATACTTACAGCAGAACCAAATTTCTTCTGGAATTGATCAATAACAATATATTCTATGTCTTCCCCTTTATTTTCATCTGTAATAAAATTAAAACAATATTTGAAAGTGTTAACTTTACCTGTAATCACTGTATAATCTCCTAAAGTACTTTTCAAACATATATGATGTTTCTTCCTCTACAAAAGTACATAAACTATGATGAACAAATCCAGCAAAACAAATCAAGATAAAACTGGTTCAGACAGTAAAGGTGGTCTTTCAAAGTATCCTCACATCTGATGCCTCTAAGACCAAATTATTCAACTGCATTTCTAGCAGGCAGTATTTAAAAAGGTAAAGAATCCCTCAAGTTGAACTTTTTTTAAAAGTTTTTTTTAATCCCACCTTTATTATTTTTATAAATAACTCAAGGGAGCAAACACATGTAATCCTTCTCCTATTTTCCCCGCAACAAGAAGCCTGTGAGGTGAGTTCGGCTGAGAGAGAGCGACTGGCCCAAAGTCACCCAGCCGGCTTTCCTGCCTAAGGCGGGACTAACTTCACTCCTAATATACACCCAACGTGTAAATAGATCCCTTGGCTCCTTCTGGAACATATTTTTGACTTCCTAGTATAACCTACAGCCCTAGGATTTCCTGATAACCTCCTATCCAAGCACTAAACAGAGATAAGAATTCTTAATTTTTTTGAGGTCAGTTGCTTGCTGCCACCTGCTGTGATGTTAAATACTTAACGGCCTGGAAAGAACTGAAACTAAAATATATTTTAATTGCTTGCACATTGACTTGCATACTGTAGAATAGTATAAAAATGGTATAGCCTTCCACTCACATATTTAAATAAAAGTTAAGATTGTTTATGCTATCATCATTCCTAGGATTTTATACATTCTTTACCATTCAGCCTTATAAATAATCCCCAAAAATGCTTGAGAAAACTTCTGCTGAGAGTTTGGCCCTTCCCCCAGCAGCTTGCAGATTTCTATGCTACAGCTGTCTTCCTCTAACAGCTCATCTGGTTTCTATTCTGGGTTCAAAAGAAGGATGAAGCACCCCATCCCAACTCTACCCTCCTGTTGGCTCACTTATATATAATTCTTTGTTGCTTATGCCTATCAAACAACTGCTTAATAATTTTGTGTTGATCATTAAAGGCCTTTTACACATTCAGTTTAAAGTACTAGTGTATGGTCTCTTGAAACAATTAAAAAGAGCTTTTTGTCCACAAAGATTCCATTTGGCACCATTGCTCAATCCACACATCTATGATTTTTTAAAAATAAATTTACTTTCTGTTATTTGAACTACTATAGGTAAGTGCTTAGGAGCATGACATATCTGTTTCTTCAGTTATCAATGGAGTCCTGGGCTTATAAACAGCATTAAAATGTATCTTTCCTTTTTTTCATTTTTTAAAAAATACTATTTTAGGTTCCAATCCTATTCTTACTTAATAGTATATTGTAGAGGGTAGTTGAAAATCAACATCCTCTTTTGCTCAAATGGATATATTTTCTGTTAGCACAAAGTCAATATCTGAGATATTTATTTATTCATTCATTCAATTTATATACAGGTAGTCCTCGCTTAATGACCATTCATTTATCAACCATTCAAAATTACGATGGTGCTGAAAAAACTGACTTATGACCCATGCCTGAAGTTAAGGCCATTGCAGTGGCCCCGCAATCATGTGATCAAAATTCAGGCACTTGGCAGCCTGCCTGCATTTACAACTGCAGGGGTGCTGCTGCTCCTCCCACCCGCCTATCTCTCCCCCTGATCTATGCTCTTTTGGCTGCCCTGCACAGTGGTACTTGGCAGTGGCAGCAGCAGTGCTGGGGCTGAAGTAGAGGCTTGGGACTCTCAGCAGTGTTAGTCAGCTGCCACCGCTGCTGCCACCACTATCCCAGGCCTCTACTTCAGCCCCAGCACCGCCCCTGCCCACGGCCAGGCCCCCCCGGCAGGGGACCCCAAAAA